GAAAAGATGAAAAGAATTTGATATTAAAGAGCAAAAGTATAATTTAAAGTGGAATGATTTTAAAGATTCATAGATTGACTATAAATATTAGTGTCACTGAAAATTCACCAATTTTTTTTTTTTTTTTTGGCTTTACGCCAAACTCTCTATTATTGAGAATTTGTGTTTGGGAAAAAAGAAAAAAAAATTTTCCACAATTTTTCTCTCTACATTTAAATTTGTAAAAAATTGAATTAATGACTCACTTTTTGCTTTCGAATTAGTAAAATTTAAATAATTAATAGTAGAAAAAAAATTAGTAAAATTTAACTAATTCGATTAGTAAAAAAAAATAATTTTTACTTTTTTTTATTAAATCAAATTAGATAATAATTTGTACTAATTCAGATTTAAAGAGTTGTATAATTTATAACAATTTTTCTTTATTCCAGTCAATAAAATCATTTCAATTATTCAATATTGCAACATGATGGAAATGAATTTCTGGTTCTAATTTAATTTGAATATTATAGCGGAAGGTTTATTTTAGATTAGACTCTCTAATTTATATTGATTTTGAATTCACTTCTGATCCAGTGAGATTCAAGCTAATAATATTGCTGCAATATTATTATTATTATTATTATTTTTATTATTTCAATTTAAAATCTATATATTATAAAAAATGTGTCGTATTTATTCGGCGAATGATTATACCATTAAAAATTATTAATTAGAATTTTCTTATTTAAAGAATTTTATTAGAAATAATTATTATTTATTAGGCGAATTTTCATTTTTCGAATTAGCATTTAACAAAATTTCTTTTTATACAAATTTTTACTTAAAACAAAATTTTCAGCTACCGAATTTTTGCCCAAATTTCAATTCACCGAATTTTTAATTGACAGAATTTTAAAGTAGCGGAATTTTCATTTGTCCGAATTTATATTTGTACGAATTTTTTATTGGAGTGAGAAATTTTTTATTTAATAGAATTTTTAAGACGCCAAATTTCTTATTTTATCGAAATAAAAAATGACCGAACAAACAATCTACAGAAAGATTTCGGCGCAATTTTTGAATATTGACCAATTAGAAATTATCAAAAAAAAAAAAAAAAAAAAATTGTGTGTATAAACTGTCCAACCCTAAGTAGAAGTAACATTTTCGAATTGTGCTAACCATAACCCAGACATGTTTCGCGATTTGATTTTTCACTTCATTTTTTCTTCAATCATGAACCCCACAATACATGCAATAAACTTAACTTGACGATTTCTTGTTTTCTTTATTCATTTTTTATGTTTAATCACATCGCTCACAAAACTTTTTTCGTTTCTATACAAATGCACCGACGTCACAGCAGACGCTATTTTTGATTCTCCAAAAATGTAATGGCACAAAAAGTTAGGTTTCACTACGATGAGCTTCGCCACGTCCGTGCATAGATGGCGCTAGTGTTTTTATTTCAAGAAAACCGAAGTGTCCAACCCTGAGTATATTCCTCTACAAATAAAAATTCGTATAAATAAAAAAATTTGGACAAATTAAAATTCGATGAATTGGAAAATTGTAAAATAAAAATTCTGGCAAAAATTTCATAGCTAAAAATTTAGTAAAATTTAAGTAAAAATTCGTATAAAAAGAAATTCAAAGCCAATTTGAAAAATAAAAATTCGTCTCAAAAATAATTATTTCCAATAAAATATTTTTAAAAATAAAAATTCTAATTAATGATTTTTATTAGGAAATTAATGTGCCCCAAATTTATTGCTCACTCGACTACAAGGTAAAAATAACACTTTAAGAACAAAAAAATTCACGTTTATTTTATTTCAGGGGAAAAAAAATTTATATTTCGGTTTATAATGCTAGAACAAAGCACAGAATATATTGAATGAAATATGTATATATATACATATTGGACAGGGAAAAAGTAAACTGCAAAATTCACTGACATATTACCTCGTTCGCGATATGCTTTCTTTTCATATATAATGTATATAGTTTGCAGTCAATAGCTTTTGTGATTGAAAAAAGATAAATTTTTATAATCTTTATTTTTATCAAAAATCTAATATATTGAAAAATAACAAAGATTCAATTTTTTTGTTTATTGTATATAATAAACAAAAAATAGAATTTACAATTTTTTTTTTATTAATCTATATACTCTTTGTATATTTTAAATTTGAAAAAATATTTTTTTAAAAAATTGCTTCGTATTGGAATTTAATAAAAATATTTTACAAAGAATATAGAACGTGTAATTAAAATGAAGTGCACTTTAAGTGGATTGATAGAAAATAAAAACTGTTTTTTTTTTTTTATTTTACCTAGTTTTTATTTACATTTGGAAAATTATTTTGTAAGAGAAAAATTTATGAGTGGAAAAAAAATTCTAAAACAGAATTTTTGGAATAATTTTTCTGTTTCATTTTTTTGCTTACGTTGCTTCTATCAAGTATTTAAAAAAAAAAAAATGCATGTAGAATTTTTTTTTTTTTTTTTTTTTTTTAATTACGATAGACCTGTGTCAATAGGAGCCAAGCGTTTCCGCACCTTAAGCCTTCTACATACACTCTAAAGGTATTTCAACTACAGGCGTGGCTTTTAAGATCAATACCATAAATGTACTATACCATTCGGAGGAAAAGTTTTACGGAACTTAGTCAACTATTAATAAGTGGTTATATACTTAAATAGAAACTAAAATTCTATATAAAGAACATTAAGGATGTTCAACTCAAAATTATAATTTGAAAAGTATTTTTTTTTTTAAATACACTTTAAACCAAATTTTATACACTCTGAGAAAAGATTTCTTTGATTTAAATAAAACAATTTCTTTCACTTGTTTTCTTTTTCAAAAAATTACTTTTGGAAAAAGAATTAAAGAAAAAATTATTTACAACCCCCCCCCAACTGTTGGGTAATTTTTCTTCTTTTTTACTAAATTAATTATAAAAAAAATAGTGTATTTTTTTGAAATTTATTTTTAAAAAAAAAACCAATATTTATTCTCTTTTTTTTTATTTATTCAATAAAAAATTCGTCTAATATATGATAATTGGTTAAGTTTTTTTTTTTTATTTATTTTTTATTTCAAAATGAATTGACGTCACAAATGATTCTAATTATAATTGCTAAATTTTCCGATAATCAAATGAAAATGAGAATAAAAATTGAAGAGATTATATATATGTACTAATGCTTTTGTTTGATGGAGAAGCGTAATATAATTAATTTCCGCGCGCGGACCTGAATGTGCGGGGATATAATGCGTTCAAATATTGAGCTTAAAACAGATATCATTTACATTCAAGAATCAATTATAAATTTCAAAAACCCGAAACAATTGATCGTTTATATATTGTTTTTAGTGAATAAAAAAAAAAAAAAAAAAAAAAAAATTCATTATTAATTTGATTTAATAGAATTTTTATATTTCAAATTTATTTTTATAATAATTTCTATAATAATTTAATAATAATTTATTTTTATAATAATTTATAATACACTCAGAGAAAAGATATATTTGCCTCAGAGCCAAATAAATTTTATTTGATTTAAATATAAATTTTATTTATGACAAATAAAATTTTTATTTACGTCAAATAAAAAAGTTATTATGCTCTGAGACAAATATATTCATTTATTTAACATAAATATATTATATATATTTGTTTCAAATAAAATATTTTTCTGAGTGTAATTTATTTTTATAATTGATTTTTATAATAATTTATAAGAATTTATTTTTATAATTTAGAAAATTGAAGAAATAAAATTTTTTTTCTAAAAAACTGATTTCTTATTTTTAAACAAATGAAAAAAGTGGAAATATTAACTTTTGTCTTTGAAAAAAAAATAATCGATAAGTAGGTTATTGATGAATTATTATTCTTGTGTCTCAAAGGTAAAGAAAGAGAGCGTTTTGAGAAGGTTTTTGACTCACTTGAAAGTTTGAAAGGAAATTTAGTCGTTGTGTTGCAGTCATCTTGTCATTGTTTTAAATTCCTTAAGGTGTGAACGTTTTCTTTATGAAATACTTCATAGACGCTCGTTAATCAAAACGGAAAAGTGTTTTTTGAAAATTACTTTAGAAATTTACAAAAGCATTATAAAAAAATTTTGTTTTATTTAAAAATTCATATTTAAAAATATTTATTTTAAATTTCACTGAGAGAAAAAAAAAATTCTTTGATTCAAATAATCGTTTACTTATTATCAAATAAATATTTACTTCAAGGAAAAAAATATTTACCTAAAACAGCGAATGGTTTCACTAGAATAGCGAAAGATTTAATTGAAATAAGTAAAATTTTAGCTACAATAGTGAAACGTTTAGCTGTTTCAGACAAATCTTTTTTTTTCCTGTTATACCAAAAAAAATTTTACTTGATTCAATTATATATTTCTTTCAAATGCAGAAATTATTGATTCAAATATCAATTATTTGGTTTCAAAAATTATTTAATTCGAAAAATTTATTTAGTTTCAAAAACTATTTAGTTCCAGTAAATATTTATTTGAGTCTAGTAATCGATTATTATTTGAATTAAAGAAATTTTATTTTCATTGTGTGAGTTAGTATTGAATAAATTAGTATTTATTATTAACTTTTGTCTAATAGTTGTTAATTTTTCTCTTTTAAATTGTGACACAGTCTGAATAGGGTTTATTATAAAGAATAGTTACAAAATTATTTATTTAAAAAAATAAAATTAAAAAATTTTGTCCCTGCTTTATTTTAATTTTCAATAACGAAAAAAAATGTTGTTTAGTATTTAATTAATAAATTGCTACAATTTTAATAAAGGATTATCAATATCGGACTGCCCCAAAAAAAATTTTTTCCTAAATCGAATTTTTCTAAAAAAAAAAAAAAATAGAAAAAATTTTTTTGGTATTGTCTGGTACTTTTTTATGATTTATTAATTGTGTATTATAATTTTATTAATAAATTATATTTGAAAAATTAGAAAAAATAAAAAAAAAAATTTTTTTTTTATTAGCACGATGCCTTCTGACAGTATGGACGACATCGAACTGAAGAATATTCAGCTACAATTTCCAGCACTTAGGTACTTGACACGTGATGATGCTTCAGTTCAAGAAGAAAGAATTGAAACCGACAAAGGTACAGTGCTTGTCGCAATTCAAGGAAATCGGGCAAAACCTGCCATTCTTACGTACCACGATTTAGGCCTTAATTGTAAGTATATTTTTCCTTTTTTTAAAAAAAAAAAAAAATGAATACTTTTTCGAAAATTTCAATTTTTTGTTTTCTATTTTTCTAATTCGAATTTTCTATTTGAAAAATTCAATTTTTTTCCCCCTTTTTTTTCATTAAAATTTTCTATTCGAAAAATTTAATTTTTTGTTTTTCATTTTTGTAATTTGAATTTTCGATTCAAAAATTTTAATTTTTTGTTTTCCATTTTTCTAATTCGAAAATTTCAATTTTTTGTTTTCTATTTTTCTAATTCGAATTTTCTATTCGAAAAATGCAATTTTTTGTTTTCCATTTTTCTAATTCGAATTTTCTATTCGAAAAATTCAATTTTTTGTTTTACATTTTTCTAATTCGAAAATTTCAATTTCTTGTTTTCTATTTTTCTAATTCGAATTTTCTATTTGAAAAATTCAATTTTTTCCCCCTTTTTTTCATTCAAATTTTCTATTCGAAAAATTCAATTTTTTGTTTTCCATTTTTCTAATTCGAAAAATTCAATTTTTTGTTTTCCATTTTTCTAATTCGAAAAATTCAATTTTTTGTTTTCTATTTTTCTAATTCGAATTTTCTATTCGAAAAATTCAATTTTTTGTTTTCCATTTTTCAAATTCGAAATTTCCATTGGAAAATTTCAATTTTCGTAAATAAAGTTTGATTGAATGATTAAAATTTTGAAGAAGAAGAAAAAAAAAAAAAGTTGTAGGTACTTATTGATGCGGTGCATCGCGTATAATGTTTTGAGATAAACTTTACGACTTATCTTTTAACGATAAAACTTCCGGCATTATAATCTTTATACAGTACTTTCAAATAAAGTGATATACATAAAACAGAATCTTATGACGATATTCGTATACATGAAAGAGATTTCTAAGTGCCAGTTACACAATAGCTTTATAAAGATGATGTACATCTAAAGTATATTCAGAAAAAAAATTCAATATCAAATTTCACTGATTATTATTATATGACATTAAAAAAAAAAAATTTTCCATCTTTTTGGTATCATTTGAAAAAAAAATTAAAGAAGGAGAAAATAATAATTAGACAAATGATTAATTAAAATTAAAAAAATTAATAAAAATTTGAATAAAATAATTATTAAAAAAAAAAAAAAAAAAAAAAAAAGAAAATATTAATAAAAAAAAAATTAAATAATTAAAACAGAAAAAAAATAATAAAAACAATTAAAAATAGTGTTGTAAATAAAAAAATTGAGGAAAAATAGAAAAATAATAATAAAAATTATTTCATTACTGGTCAAGTAGAGATTAATAATTTATTTTTTTTATTAATTTTCAGATATCTCGAGCTTCCAGACTTTCTTCAATTACATCGACATGCGCGTTCTTTTAGAAAACTTTTGTGTTTATCATGTGAACGCGCCAGGGCAAGAAGAAGGCGCTCCCACATTACCTGACGAGTAAGTAATTATTTTTTTTTTTTCAAAATTAATTTACAATTTTTTTGAATTCAACACTTTTTTTGGTACCATAAAATGGATATAACCAATATTTTCCCGCGATAATTAAAATTAAAAAAAATAGTTTTTTGAATTAAAAAATTAATAGAATAATTTTTTTAATTAAAAAATTAAAATTAAAAAAATAAAATTAAAAATTAAAATTAAAAAATTAAATATAAAAAAATAAAAAATTTTACAATGTGGCTTTCCTTTTAATTATAATTAAAAAAAAATATATTTCTATTTTTTTTTTATTATTTGGCCAAAAGAGAATCAATTTGATTCAACAGTATTTTCCCATTTTGTATATATAATATAATACAAATACAGTAACATATATTTTAATCCTTTTGATGCATTATGTAAAACATGTGTATACCAAAAGGCTTCGGATTATTCAAATTAGCGCAAGCACTAGTAATACGTTATCTGTAAAAATTATAACAGATAAAATTATGTGAAAAAATTTCCGTATATTAGACAAACAATGATTTTTATATAATTTTTTTTTCTGAATCAATTTTTTTTTTTAATATAAATTTATTATTTAGTTCAAGTAAATATTTTTCTTTTTTCCATCAAAATTATTTCAATCAAATAAATTTTTTTTTCAATCTACAGATTTTATTTTTATTTTGAAATTATCATTGAAAATTATTATGAAAAATTATTGATTCAAATAGAAATTATTTAAATATTTCTTTGATAATCGATTATTTGAATAAAATAAATTTTTTAATTAATAGAGATTTTATTTTTTATTTTAAAATGGAAAAAATTGGTTTATTGGATATATTAAAAAGTTGTGTTTCTTTTTTCTGTTTCAGTTATATTTATCCGTCCATGGATGACTTGGGGGAACAATTGCTGTTTGTTTTAGGGCATTTTGGATTGAAATCAGTTATAGGATTTGGCGTTGGTGCTGGTGCGAATATTCTCTCGCGTTTTGCACTAGCCCATCCGGAAAAAGTGAATGCCCTCTGCTTGATCAATTGTGTATCGACACAAGCCGGTTGGATTGAATGGGGTTATCAAAAATTAAACGTTCGTTATTTAAGGTCGCAGGGTATGACTCAAGGAGTTCTCGATTATTTAATGTGGCATCATTTTGGCAGAGTAAGTACCATTTTTTTTTTAAACTCAAAAGAAAAATACCTATTTTTATTAAAAAATCAATTATTCTTTTATTCTTTAACTGTTTTATTAGATAATTTTCAATTGAATTTGACCAGAAAGAATATTGGAATAATAAAAGATAATTATAAAAAAAATTTATCATAAAAGAATTTTTTTTTTCCCCTTTATTCTCGCTGAAAAAACACTTATCGGAATTTTTATACTTATAAAGCATTGTGCTTTTTTTTTTTTTGAAAAAAAAAGAAATGCTTTCACGATGATATGATTTTGTCGCTAGTTCTTTTATGTTAAAAGCTAGACAAATAATTGTATAAAAACGTGGCGCCTCTTTCCTTACACCTTTTATTTTTTTTTTCTCATTTTGCTCTACTTCCATTTGAATAGAGTGGTTTTAATTTAGAAAACCAATAACTCTTTCGCGCTCTTTTAAATAACGAATATTAATTCACAAAAGGAATTTATTTTTTCTTAAACGACTTTTAAATAAAGCTGATCCTTTTTTTGAAAAAATGGTTCACAAATAATAATAAAATTTATTTTCACAGGGTACCGAGGAGAGGAATCATGATCTCGTTCAAGTTTACAAGAATTATTTCGAGCGTCGAGTTAATCCAACGAATTTAGCATTGTTCATCGACAGTTATGTACAACGTACGGATTTGAATATCACCCGGGAATTGGATCCAACTCGTAAGAAGGAAGGATTAACTTTGGATGTACCGGTAATGAATATCACAGGAGCACTTAGTCCTCATGTCGATGACACCGTCACATTAAATGGACGACTCGATCCCACTAATAGCTCCTGGATGAAGGTAAATTTTTAAATTACAATTTTTTTTTTTTTTTTTTTTTTTTTTGAAATATTTCCACAATATTCCAGGTCTCGGATCGACTTTGAAGAAGCAAAAAAAAGTCGATTTTTTTTTCAATTTCTGATAATAATTCAATTTTAGTGTTTTTTTTTTTAAACTTTTTTAAATAATTGAATTTTTAAAGAAAAATTAAAACTATTGAAAATAATTGAATTTTTCAAGAATTACAGTTGAAATTTTTAGAATTAATTGAATTTTTAAAGAATTACAGTTGAAATTTTTAGAAATAATTAAATTAAAAAAAGATTTTCTTTAATTTCAGACAATAATTAAATTTTTCAAAATTGAAAATAAATTATTAAATAAATTTTAAATAACATTTTTTAAAAGTAATTGAATTTTTTAAAGAAAAATTAAAACTATTAAAAATAATTGAATTTTTGAAGAATTACAGTTGAAATTTTTAGAATTAATTGAATTTTTCAAGAATTACAGTTAAAATTTTTAGAAATAATTGAATTAAAAAAAGATTTTCTTTAATTTCAGACAATAATTAAATTTTTCAAAATTGAAAATAAATTATTAAATAAATTTTAAATAACATTTTTTAAAAGTAATTGAATTATTTAAAATGAAAATTAAAACTATTAAAAATAATTGAATTTTTGATGCTGCGTTACAGTAGAAATTATTCAAAATAATTGAATTTTAATGAAGAATTACAGTTGAAATTTTTAAAAATAACACAGCCCCACAAAAAAAAAAAAGTGTCATGTACTTTTGACCGGAATACCCTAACCCTATGTATTTTGACGCGCTGAATACGAATCCGAAGTCCGTTTTGCTCCATCACGTCAGCATTTTTTTCTAACCTCAAAAAACATGTCGGATTTTGAGAAGTATGCGATTTTTTTAAAAATTGATGTATTAACTTCAAACTTGGTATCTGGGGGTTTTTTGTGTCGCTGATTACGAATCTGAAGTTAGATTTTCAAAATCAAAAATGGCAGATCCAATATGGCGGACGAATTTTGAAAAAATTTTAAGTTTTACTTCAAACTTGGTATCTAGGGGTTTTTTGGGTCGCTGATTACGAATCTGATGTCAGTTTTCCGAAATTCGATATGTCTGATTCAATATTAAGGAATTATTTTTAAAAAATTGTCAGATTATTATGAAATTTGGTATCTACAGGTTTTCTAAGTTGCTGACAAGTAACACTAGGGAAGTGACATACGCCGATTTTTCTGAAACTTGGCAGTTTTGTAGTTTTTTGAAAACAATTTGACACGTATGTTTTGTTTTTCCCCAAAAGCTGATTTATGGGGGGGAAATACCCCTTGAATTTTTTTTTGGTAGGGGGACATTATTTTACAAAATTTTTCAAAAATTAATGTGCAATAGTGTATCTGGGGGTTTTTTGGGTCACTGATTACGAATCTGATGTCAGATTTCAAAAATTCAAAATGGCATATTCAACATGGACTTCTATCGGCCACATTAGACACGCCATTATCAATTTTTGAAAACTGACATCAGATTCGTAATCAGCGACCCAAAAAACCCCTAGATACCAAGTTTGAAGTAAATCTTAAAATTTTTTCAAAATTCGTCCGCCATATTGGATCCGCCATTTTTTATTTTGAAAATCTAACTTCAGATTCGTAATCAGCGACACAAAAAACCCCCAGATACCAAGTTTGAAGTTAATACATCAATTTTTAAAAAAATCGCCTACTTCTCAAAATCCGACATGTTTTTTGAGGTTAGAAAAAAATCCTGACGTGATGGAGCAAAACGGACTTCGGATTCGTGTTCAGCGCGTCAAAATACATAGGGTTAGGGTATTCCGGTCAAAAGTACATGACACTTTTTTTTTTTTGTGGGGCTGTGTAATTGAATTTAAAAAGATTTTCTTTAATTTCAGACAATAATAAAATTTTAAAAAATTGAAATTTAAAAATAAATTATTAAATAAATTTTAGATAACATTTTTTTTTAAATAATTGAATTTTCAAAGATTTATGATTCAGATTTTTAAAATTAATTGACCTTTGAGTAATTATAAAACATTTTAATTGAAAAATACTTTCAGATAATTGAATTTTTGAAGAATATTATAAAACTCATTAAAAATAATTGAATTTAAAAAGAATTATAATTAAAATTATTAAATTTTAAAATGTTTTAAATTGAAATTTTTTTATGATTTTTTAATTGTAAACAATTGTTAAATTTCATAAAATTTTTAATTGAAAAATTAAATAATTGAAATAAAGAAAATCTTAAGATCTGCATTTTATACTAAAAAAAGACTTATTTTGTTTAAATATTTTGTAAATGAAAAAAATGTAAAAAAAAAGTCGCATCTTATGAAAAAAGTCATATAATCCGAGACCTGAAATTTTAAAAGAAAAATCAGATTTCTAAAAATGAAAATTTTCAACAAAATTTAATAATAAAATTTACAACAATTAATAAAAATTATAGATTTCGGATTGCGGTATGGTACTAGAGGAACAACCCGGTAAAGTGAGCGAGGCCTTTCGATTGTTTCTACAGGGTGAAGGATATGGTAAGTGAGCGTCGTCGCTATAACACAAAAAAAAAAAAAAAAAAAAAAAAATTAGAAACCAATTACGGATTGACATTAATTCATCGATTTTCACTGACAATGATCGACATACGTGCTAATGCGCATAAGTCACACGACATTTCGAGATAGAAGGTCGCATATTCATTTGAAAAAATAAAATACTTATAACAATTCTAAAGAAATCCGTTAAATATAAATCAAATATTTATTTTTAATCAACGAGCTTTTTATAAAATATTCAAAATGAACATACGACCTTCTAACGCGATATTTCTGGCGAGTACCAAAAAAAAAGAAAAAAAAATTTAACCCAAAAAAAGCAGAGAATAAAAAAATAATTAGGTTTTGTTTCAATCGGTTTTGGTATCGCATTAACAACGTATTGGCCTACGATCGTAGATACGTAGTTATCACCTGTGTATTGCAAAATTTATCGATGTTACATTTGCCTGCGTTCTTGCAGAATGAATTGTTTATATAAAAGTGTGTTGCTCTTAAAAAAGTAGTCAAAACGCGATTTTTAAAAGCGCAATCTAAAATCTTATTTTTACAATTAAAATTTCTTTTTTTTTATACAATATTCAAAAATCAGTATCTCTCGAACGATCGACACTATTTTATTTCGATAAAAAAAAACCAGCAAAATTAATATTTTACAAACAGAAATAAATCACTTCAAAAAAGAAAAAAAAATTTAAAAGAATTTTTTTTAATTTAAAAAGACAATATTTAAAAATTCAATAATTACAGTAAAAATAATTACTATGAAAAAAATTTTCTTCAAATAATCAAATTACTTGTCGCAAATAAATATTTACTTAAACCAAATAATTTTTGAAATCAAATAATGTTTATTAACAAACTGTCCAACCCTAAGTAGAAGTAACATTTTCGAATTGTGCTAACCATAACCCAGACATTTTCGCGATTTGATTTTTCACTTCATTTTTTTTTTCAATCATGAACGCCACAATACATGCAATAAACTAACTTTGCCGATTTTTTGTTTTCTTTATTCATTTTTTATGTTTAATCACATCGCTTACAAAACTTTTTTCGTTTCTATACAAATGCATCGACGTCACAGCAGACGCTACTTTTGATTCTCCAAAAATGTAATGGCACAAAAAGTTAGGTTTCACTACGAGAAGCTTCGCCACGTCCGTGCATAGATGGCGCTAGTGTTTTTACTTTAAGAAAATCGAATTGTCCAACCCTGAGTAAATTCAAACAAATATCATTTAAAATCAAATTGAATTATTTGAATCAAATAAAAATTATTTAATTCAAGTAAATATTTATTTATTGATTATAAATAACCGATTTTATTTGAATCAAATAAACTTTTTTTTTCACTGTTTTTTGAAATTTAATAATTACAGAGTTGATTTTTATGTTCCGGGCAAATTGAAGTTTTTTTTAAATCTCATTTTTTTCGTTTTTTAAACAAACAAAAAAAAAAGTTTAATTAAAAATAAAATTTTTAAGCGCTTCTAAAAAATATAAAAATCACTCTGTATATTTTTTTTCAGTGTAAAAATAATTTTGTTATTTATTTACAATATTTTGCGCAAGGAAAAAATAAATTTTGAAAAAATTTAATTCGAATAAAGGCTGGAACCCTTTGTTTCGACTTTAATTCACGTCCCAATTGCTCGAGAAATACGAGAGAAAAAATGAATTATTTTATTCCATAGAACTTGAATAATTATTTTCACTAAAAAATAGAAAACAGATTTTCAAAAATAAACCATGAATTATTATAAAATAACTAAAAATAAAATTTTTTTTTTTATAATTAAAAATAGAAAAAAGCAAATATGAGTTTTTAGATTGCGCGTAAATATAGTGTATTACGCGATAGCATAAAAAAAATATTCGATTCGGTGAAATATAAATATATATATATATATATTTATAAATGCATTCAATTAATGCAGTGCTCTTATTCGATTCGAATAACACAAAAAATTACCAACCAGTCAGTGGCGATATTATATTATCTCACGGTGTTATTATTATATATAGATGAGGTTGATTATTCTGTTTGGCTTTTTAGTCACAGAAACACACCCGCACTTATCACTTTTACACACTAAGCTTTTGTCACAATTCAGTTAATTCCAAAAACAAATTTTTTTTTAAAAAAAAATGCCATATTTAAAAAAGAAAAAAAATTTTCATTAACGGAATTAATTTTCCGGGCCTTAGCCATTTAATTTTTACGTTTTTAATTTAATAACACAATTTCATTTTTAATACCATCCCTTTTTTTGAAAATTTATCGTAAAATTAAAACCGAATTCTCTTTTTTTAGATTAAAATTACTTTTTTTTTTTAATTTTAAATGAGGAAAAAATCATTACAAAATGGCTAAGACCCTTATAAATAAATTTTAACGAAAAAATTAAGAAAAAAAAAATATGATCTCATGCAATTACAAAGTGTAGTACTGCGTCGATTAACTGTTATTATTATTATTGTTATTATGAGGATCATGATCATAATCATCTCATAATCGTTGTTGCTGTTATAATCTTCACCATCGACTACTACTGTCACTGATGTACATCAATCAAGCTACATTATTAAACGAATGGCTTTTAAGTTACAAATGAGGTTGGGTTTTCGTGTTTTAAGGGAAATATTTCTAAATTTCAGAATTACATATAATATATATATATATACAGGGTGATTTTTATTTTACGGAACCCCTAAAAATTTTTTTTTTTTAATCTTTGTTTAAAAATAAAAAAAAATGGAAAAAAAATTTTAAGGGTCCAAAACATAAAAATCATTTATATTATATATTTTACATAAAAAAAAAATTAATCCCCTAGTACACAGGGATTCAATCTCAGCTTAAGCGGAAACATGTACCTTTTAGTTATATAAAAAAAAACAGCTATACTTGCTCCAACTTGATAAATAAACAAAAGTTTGAGAAAACAAAAAATTATTCTCGACTAAATAAACGACCCTTATTTATTTTTTTTTTTTTGAATATTTTTTTTAAATTATAAAATAGATATTTTAAGAATTAAATTAAGGGAATGAAAGCTATTAATTTTTGACCGACTTGCGCCTTTATTTCTCACGCGTCTCGGATCAATCGAGTGGTACGTATTTTTATAAAATAATTTTCAATTTTTTAATACATTACATAGGCAATTTCTTTTAGCTTCTTGGCTATAGTTTTGGCTTTCAAAAAAAAAAAAAAAATTCTCGCTAATTAGCTTGACGCTAGTCTCGTTTTACACGCGCATTTGAAATTAGATGTTGTCGATTCATTATTAAAAAAAAATTTTTTTATTACCAACACTCAAAAGTAGCACCAATCAGTGTACAGAGAAAGTAGTTTAAGAATTTGTTTTTTTTGTAATATTTTTATTAGTCACTTGAACGCTTAATTGCACTATCAATATACACAGTGCCAGGGATAATCTGTATTTATAATTTTCAAAATTGATACTAGAAATTTATTTTATTTTTTATTCAAGTAGAAAAATTATTAAATTTTCATCGGTGAAATTCACAACGTTGGGTGTTAAAAATAAAAATAATTTTCATTCGGAAAATATATAATTTTTTGCGGAGACAAATATTATTTTCTTTTCAAAATTTTTGATTCGTGAAATGTAAAAATTTGTTTGAATAAAAAATTATAATAATTTGCATAGAAAAATAAATTTTTTCTTACTAAATCGTTGATTATAAACGTTGTAAATTTCAGTGATGTAATAATTTTGATAAACGGAAAAAAAATTGTTTCAATCGGTTACTTGACTATTATCAAATAAATATATTTAGCAAATAATTTTTCAAACCAAATAAAATTGTTGAAACCAAATAAATATAATTAGCAAATAATTTTTTTAACCAAATAAAAATTAACTAAATAATTTTTGAAACCAAATAAAATATTTACCAAATAATTTTTGAAACCAAATAATTTTTGAAACCAAATAAATATTTACCAAATAATTTTTGAAACCAAATAAATATTTACCAAATAATTTTTGAAACCAAATAAATATTTACCAAATAATTTTTGAAACCAAATAAAATATTTACCAAATAATTTTTGAAACCAAATAAAATATTTACCAAATAATTTTTGAAACCAAATAAAATATTTACCAAATAATTTTTGAAACCAAATAATTGGATTGAAACTTTTATTTGAACCAATAATTTCTGTATTTGAAAAAAAAAACAAATAATTATTTAATACAAATAAATATTTATTTGATAATAGTAACCGATTATTTGAATTAAATTTTTTTTTCACTGTCTTATTTTATTTTAGTAAAATAATTAAAATAAGTATTTTTTATGTTTGGTAATTAATAATAAATTAATTCATATAATAATTATTATTAATAAATATTTTGTTTGTTACAGTGAAAAAAATATTTGATTCAAATAATCAGTTACTTGACTATTATCTGTATGACTATCATTTTTGTATAAAATAATTATTATTTGAGATGGTATTTTTTTCAAATACGCAGAAATTATTGGTTCAAATAAAATTTGAAATAAATAAATAAAATAATTTAAATAAAATAAATTATTTGGTTCAAGTAAATATTTATTTAATAATAATAGTCAAATAAGCAATTATTTGAATCAAATAAATTTTTTTTTTTTAATCTACAGATTTTATTTTTATTTTAAAATTATTATTATTGAAAATTATTATGAAAAATCATTGGTCCAAGTAAAAATTATTTAATTTAAATAAAAAATTTTTGGTTTAAATATTTATTTTTTGGTCAAATACCAATTATTTGAATCAAATAAATTTTTTTCAGTTGAAATTGCACGCAATAGTCAAAAGAAGTGGGGATAAAAAACTGATCTACCCCACTTCTTTTGACTATAAGACAAAAAGTGTTCTCAATATTTACAGCCCTGGCAACTGTCAATATTCTCAACGAAAAAAAAATAAAATAAAAAAAACGAAATAGGAAAAATGATTTTAATCAAATTATTCAATTTTTTCAAAAGTTTCCTATTTTTTTTTTTTTTTTAATATCTAGATATGAATTGTAAATTATTTTTAATCATCAGTCGATGTTGAGAACAGTGCGCGCGCTGCCAATTATCTGATTGGTTGTAGCGCGCGCACTGTTGCCAAATTTACTAAAAAAAAAAAAAAAACACACCGATAGTCCGGAACAGCGTTCATGTTAATTTTTATTTATTTTTTTCACTTCTATGTTTGTTTAATTACATAATATAGTGTATTTTATTTTTTTTTCTATACGTTTTAGTGGTGAGAATGCCGAGAAAGACTTCAACACCATCGACACCAGAAGGTAAATGTAATTAGGATTTGAGGCCGCTGGAGTCAAAAGCGCTGTGTCGGTCAATTAGGCCAACATCTATGTGTTGAGTAAGTCGGAATTAAAAAACAAAAAAAAAATTTTTTTAACGGGAAGTAAGAGAGACTAAATGAACGGTCGGTGATGGCTTGATTAAAGAGTTTTTTTTTCATCTATTTTCTAAAACCAAACTAACAAAAATTATCTATAACGACTTTACTAACTTTTTTTTACTTTTTTTTTTTTTTTTTTTTTTTTTTCTAACGTGATAACATCTCTCAACTAACACAAAAAAAAATGTATTCTGGTCTCGTCTTGCTTTTGATGTCTTATCGAAATAAATCTCGCTAATTATTATTGTCTTCGTTCACACCATCAAATCTAACGTTTTGTGTCTGCATTTTGTCAAATATTTTAGTCTTTATGTGATAATTTAATGTTAAATTTGAATATATGATCATTTTCTAAAGAAGAAAAGTTTTGAAAACAAAATTTATCAAAATAATTTTAAAAAATCAAAATTTTTCAAGAATGTTATTGTATTTTGCGTATCACTGTTTTTGATTTCAAAAAAAAAATGCAAGCACTTATCGCACATATTTCATTTAGAATTAGGACTTGATAGCGAAACATAGGGATTTATTTTATTAATATTAATAAAATTTAATTTAACAAAAATTGTGATGATTCTTTGCTCACCACGATCAAGATATTAAAAAACGGCGGGTTTAAACTAAAAATTCCAATTTGGTAAATAAAATTATTTTCTTCATTTCATAAGGGAAGTAGGAAAAAACCCCCCTTGAATTTCCCCTTCGAGTCGAATTTGGAAAATAAAAACGATTTTTAATTTAAAAAAAAAAAAAAAAAAAAAAAAATACCTGCACTTTTACGTAGAAATAGATTATTATTTGTGAATAACATCCTTGTATTGCTCTTACAACAGACCACATACACGATATTCTTTTCTTCACTTTGCATGTACGCTTGCTTTTTAATTTCTCGATATATATATATATAAAAAAAAATGCGATTCTTTGTAATTAGAATTCGGTATTACTGACTGTGGATGTTAATATTTAATGAAATGTTTATCTAATCTGTGTATTGTATAATAAAATGTACTAAATGTAAGAATTGAAATTTCTTCAATGTTTAAAAAACCGTTAACATAACCTCAAAAAGCAATGAAAGTTTGAGATTTGATGTTATGTTTAGGTTCCTTTCAAGATTTTTCAATTTTTTTTTTTTATTTAACTATTCAAATAAAGTAGAATTTTATTTAAATATTTAAATAAATAAAAGAGAAAATAAATTTTTTAAATTGAAATGAAGAATGATGATTTAATTTCTACTTACAGTGGCGCCACTTTCTCCTTTAAAAATGGCGGATTACAGATTAGCCTCCCTCGAGGGATTGAATCACATCTGCAGTAAGAAAATTGACTGGCCCACTGCAACAATTCACATCACTGAAAATCCCATATCAGAAGCGGTTGTTTGTTAAATAACGATACGTTTATCATCGTGATTTGTACAAAATAAAAAAAAAAAAAGACGATTGCTATCAAAAAAAAACAAAAAAAAAAACATCGGAACTCGCAGCTTTCCGATTTAAAAACAAGAAAAAAAACCGCCGAACAAAAAAAAATGGTAGCTTTATCAGCTTTAAACCAACTCGAATACAATCGTCGCAAGAACAAAATCCTCTCATTTTAAGTAAGTTCAAAATCTTATTTATATAAAAAATTTTTTTTAAGGTGAGTCTTTACACTTTCATATTTTGTATATTGCGATTTTTTTTTTTTTTTTAACACAAACCGTTTATGTAATTATTATAAATTAGTAAAATTTGTATTTTCATTATTGGATTAATTTTTACAAAATGTTTGGGAGCTAATGAACAAGTTTACAATGAAGCGTCTTGAGAGTGGAGGGGGAAATGAGAGAGAGAAAAGTATCAGTCTTTCTTTTTCTCTCTCATTTCTCTCCTCCCCACTCTGACGCTACTCTTAACCTATTGGCTAAATATACACGCCACATATATCGTTATCAGTTGAGAATTCTTAGCCAATTAACATAACCCAAAACTAAAAAGTTGTTTTTAACAAATAAAACTAAAAATTAATTTAATTAAATTTTGAAAGTACAATTTTTAAAATTCTTTAATTATTTAACAAATTTTAACTGAAAATAATTTTTTTTTTTTTGAAAATTGTACTTTCGAATTTTGGATGAATTCAATTTTAAATAAATTTTTTAGTTCTGTGAAAAATCATTTTTTAGTTTGAGGTTAAGGAACCTTAATGTAAACTCGCTCACTTAATTTGAAATCTCGTAATAGTTTAAGAATTTTTAGAATACAATACTCTATTGAAACTTTGTTTCAAACCCCCTCCACTTTTTTAATTAATAATTTTTTTCTTTTTAAATAAATTTTCTAATTAATTTAAATTAGTAAAAAAAAACTAATTTGTATTAGTGATTCACTTTTCGCTTTTAAATTAGTAAAATTTAAGTAGAAAAAAAAATTTTTTTTTTACTATTAAATTAGTAAAATTTTTATTTAAAAGTAAAAAGTGAATTATTACACCCAGAGAAATGGTTTATGTTTATTTGAACCAAATATAATATATTTGAATTAAATAAACGTATATTTGTCTAACAGCATACTAGCCCTATTTATTTGGCGTTAATTAAATTTTTTATTTAAATCAAATAAAAATTTATTTGAATCAAATAAATATTTATTTGAATCAAATAAATATTTATTTGAATCAAATAAATATTTATTTGAATCAAATAAATATTTATCAGGCTGTGCGACAAATATATCATTTCTCTGGATTAGTTAAAATTTTAACTAATTCAAAGAGAGTAATTTATTTAATCATTAAAAAAAATTTTTCATTTCTTTTGTAATTAATAATTAATTAATTAATAATTAAATAATTAATTTCAATTATCAAAGTTTTTAAACTTTATATTTAGATAATTTTCTAATTTTAGTATAATGAAAATAAATTTAATAAAAATCGATTTATATAATAAACAATATTTATTGTTAAGAATTTTTAAAAATAAATTTTATTGGATTGTTCTCTCGACGATTTAATTGAGAAGAAGCACTAGCTGCGCCTAAGGTAGTTAGAAAAATAATAAATGTGACATTGCTTTCGAAATTCTTTGTACATTTTCTTATTTAAAAAAAAAAAAAACAATTTTGTAGTTACTAAGTCCCAAATCAAATTTTGTTGCAAAAAAAATATGTGACGCGATCTGAAGAAAGGGACTTTAGAAGCAAACTGAATTATAGGTTATGTTTACGACAGTTTTTGACTTGAATTAAAAGTTTATTTTTCTTTTAGTAAAACTGAAATTAGATTTTATTTAATATTTTGGAAGACTTAAATATTATTAGTTTGCATTACGAGTTAACGTTTTTTTTTTGTATTTTCACTTAAATATTTCAAAACATAACCTATAATTTTTTTTTGCATCTAAGGTCCCATTCTTCAAATAGCGACACATGTATATTGTTATTTGTAAACTGAATTCATTTTATATTTATTAAAAATAAATTAAATTCAGTTTTTATTTTCATATAAATATATATGCCTAATTATTAATTAAATTATTAAATTGTTAATTAGTTTTTAAATTGAAAAAAATTTAAACAATTAATTAAAAATTAAGTAAACTATAAAAAAAAATGTTCCAAGAATCTACGAAGACAATGTTTTCAAATATATATATATATAAATTAAGTAAATAAAACGTGAAAAACTCGATCTCGTATTAGTTTTTAACGTTAAACGATAAATTGACGTTCAGATTGCTGCTTAGATTGTAAGAATTATAATATTGAAAGTTGAACTTTTCAAGTAAAAAAAAAAAAAATAAAAAAAAAAAATGTAAAAAAGCCTCTACGTGGAACCACATGAATGTTGCAACGAACAATATGGGATCCAATAATAATAAAAAAAAATCGATATATATATATATAAGAATTCTCTTAATAGAAAAAATTCCACTATGAGAAATTATTGTTTTGGATCTATAATAAATGGTACTTAGGCACATTAATTACAAATTGAATTTTCCAAAATTATTAAAAAATATTATCACAACACAGAAAATTAAAAGGCATTAAAATAAGCTGCAACGCTTCTTATTTTAATCCAATTTTGCTTATTTTAATACCAAAATGGATTAAAATAAGTAAAATTGGATTAAAATAATAAGCGTTGCAGCTTATTTTAATGCCTTTTAATTTTCTGTGAAATGATAATTTAGAGAAATAATTTTTTTTTTCTAATTTTCCATTAAAGTATATTTTTCAATTATTAATTTCTATTTTTCTTCAAAAATGAAATTACAAAATATTTATAAGTAATTAATGTGTCAACATTCGTTTCTATTAATGTCGATTGGCAAAATCGATTTCCATTAATTGTAATTAAAAAAAAAATCTACTTTTGAGTATTGTTATCATTTATTTATTATTAATTTAAGTTTAGTTATATTACTTAAATTATTATTATTATATTTATAATAATATAATATAATAATATAATAATAATAATAATAATAATTATTATTATTATTATTTATTATTATTACACTGAAGTATCAAATTATTTAATTATAGTAATTAAATTAATAATCAAAATTAGAAGTTTTCTAAAATTTTACTTGAAATACATAATTTTAATTTAATTTATTTTCTCTATAATAAAAAACAAAAAACTGTGGGAAATAAATTACAATTAACGGAAACGAAAATAATTTTTTTCTATCCTAATATATTAGAAAAAAATTAATGTTATATTTATAAAAGTTTATCCCATTAAAGCATGTTATTGTTTTTTTTTTTTTTTTTTTTTTTTTGTTATAATAAATATCACAAATTCATATATATATCATTAAATATCGATCACTTATCCGATTAATATGATTTTTAAATTATCAACGATAAAATGACAAACATTAATTTTTCACACACGATTCAATTTAAAAATTAATTAATATTTATTATAAAAAATTAAATTATTATAATTAATAATTAATTTTTAAATGAATTATTAATTATTTTTATTTATATTATTTATTTTTTTTTTTAAATTGCGATAGAGAATCGATATTCCATAACGAATTCGTATTTTCTAAGCTTCGTTGAAAACAAAAAATTGATGTAATTGCGTTTTTTTTTACAACTACCAAAAAAATGCATTATTTTGAAAAAATAGCAAAAAAAATATGGAATATTGCAACGATTAGAGAATATAGCAATTAATATTGTTCTTTCCTCACGGAGGCAAAATTCCTCGAATCATATGAGCAAAGAACATTTTTAAACTCGCCTAATAATTAATTTTTTTTTTTTTATTTTTCATCGCAATTTTTTCAGTATTATAATTTTATAAACTATATATGTATGAATATTTTAGAAATTGTTTTCAGCAGTTACTTTTAATTTATTAAATATTCTGATTTTAATTATTTTGTTTTTCTTTTGTTTTCACCATATATAATTTTTTTGCCAATACAGTCTCTACTATAGACCTTTGGTAAAAAAAAAAAAAAAAAAAAATTTATACTACACACAAGGAAAAATATTGAATTTTAATCAAATTTTTTGCAAATTTTAATCCTTGCATATCTTTTCTATGTGAAATTTTTGACTCTGTTTAAATATCAAATTAGATAATTCATATTTAATTTTTTTTTTTACAACGAAATTACATATCGATTTTATAATATAAAAAAAAGAAATCCTTTATAATCTTTGTACACAATTTTCTAATACATGAACATATCATTCCTTTTTTTTTTTACAAACGGTAGTAAAATTTATGCGAACGACCTTGTGTACATTTCTATCCAAAGGTCTGAGTAAATGACTAAGTAAAATTTTTTTTTTTTTTTTAAACTTGTTTTTATAATAATAAGTATTCCTGAATAATATCATATATATTTAACAAAGAGAAAAAGAGTTTGGAAGTTTAGGATAAGTTTTTTCATTAATGAATTTGAAAATATAAAGAACGAGTTATGAAGTTTGTCGCGTATTAAAAAAAATAAAATATATAGTTTTCATAAATTATGAAGAATGCTTTTCTTAACCACATGTGTGTTAATATATACAGCATTTACGAAAAATACATTGCATAATACTCGAAAAAGTTTTACGAGTTAAAATATTATTTTACAGAACCAAAAATAGTTCATAATTTAATTATTAAAAAAAAAAATTACTTGCACAGCAAGGGAATAATATTTTTTTTTATTATTTAAAAAAAAAAAAAAAATTTTAAACTGATTTTCATTTAATTATTTTTTTCTCACTAAAATTTCTACAAAATTTCTAATAATAATTTTCAATAGTTAGGATCTAGTTACAAATAAATAAATTGTGTGTGCTAGTGTGTATTTTTTGAGCAGCTTAAATCTCCGAACTGCAATTCCGTTACTTTTCAATAATTAAAATTAAATATTATTAATTTATTAATATCAAATAATTAATTTATCTGATATTAACTAATATCTATAATTATAGCTATACATATTAAGTTTGAAAATTAGAAAAAATCTGTGAAAAAAATTAAAACCTGTTATAATTTTTCACATGAATAAGACAATGTGCGATGAAAGGATTTGAGAAAATTTTTATTTTTATTTTCATTTGAAAAAAAAGAAAATACTAGTAAAAAAAAAAATTGTAAATTAGAGCTTGAATTATTACTATTAACGTTGCTCTAGTTTCTATACAAAGACTATATATTAGAAAATTTGCCTACACTTGA